CCATCAGTTTCTTCATTTGTAAAATAGAAATAATAATATTATGGACTTATGGTTATAATGAGAAATAAATAAGTTTATCCAAGGGTAGCACCCAGAACAGTGTCTGCTACAAAGTATAGGTGTTGGAAAATATTAGATAGTTCTATTATTTAGTGTATGGATCTTAACAAATCATCAATATTTTGAGAGTTTTAAATTAAAAAAAAAACATTTATTTATAAATCAAAAACTGAATGAAATTAAAATATTAATTCAATAGAATTAATGTATTGTACCCACATGCTTCTTTTGATTCCCATTCTACCAGTCCCAAATTCTCAGGCTGTCCCATCTTCTGCAGAGAAATATGGTATGTTCTTGTCAAATCTCTAACCTTCTGCCCATGGGTTAGGAAACTGAGGATTTGTTACCACCATACCTGAAACTCATAGGAGAATTTCCCTGTCTTATAATTTTTTCTTTCAAGTTCAAGTTCCTTTGGCTTTGACAGTTGACCAGAGCAATCCATTTACATTCTGTTCAGTATGGAAGTCATTTTACTTGTTTTCTGCTATGTACCCGATGATGTTTGGTCTTTTTGATGCAAATTTAAGTAATTATCATGCCATATAAGTTGCTTAACTCTAGTTCAGAAGATAAATGTGTATATATGTGTATGTGTGTATGTATAATATAATATATATATACATATACATATATATATTATATTATATATTCCAAGGTAAAAGGGGCATTTAAATTGTCATCCATAGAAACGTTTTATCTAACTTAGAAGACTAGCATGCCACTAAGAGTAGAAAGGAGGGGCGCCTGGGTAACTCAGTCGGTTGAGCGTCCAACTTCAGCTCAGGTCATGATCTCATGGTTCATGAGTTTGAGCCCTGCATTGGGCTCTGTGCTGACAGCTCAGAGCCTGGAGCCTGCTTCAGATTCTGTGTCCCACCCCCTCTCCTCTGCCCCACCTCTGCTTGTGCTCTGTCTCTCTCTGTCTTTCAAAAATGAATAAACAAAAAAAATTAAAAAAAGAAGAGTAGAGAGGAAAAATGGGTATGATAGTCACAGGGGTGGAAGAAGACTGTATTTGTCACATTTGTAGTATTCTCTGTGCCCCTGGAGAATAGATTTTATATGTGATCACATAGTACTAAAAATTAGGATCCTTACTGTCCTTTACCTCATGGTAAGCCTAAATATCTAGCTTTGATTTTAGTTACAAATTAATTTCTGTTTCCTATGTGTTTGATCTAATTCCATTTCAAACTCCAGCACATGTAGATTTTCTACAAATGCTCTTATGGTGTAGAAAGCAACATAAAATAATGGGGAAAGTATGTATTTTGGAATTTAGAAAACCTGAGTTCTTAGCTGAGTCCCTTCTTAGCTTTTATCTTTTAGCTATGTGACCTCTCTGAAAAATGACAATTAATAAAATAAGCTAGTAAAATAGTCCTAATACAATAGTTCTACTAGTAATTAAAATACCCTAACCAGTAAAATAGTTTACATATTAAAATAGTTCTAATAAAACTCCATTGAAGTATATGAAAAGATGTTCAATATCATATGTCCTTAGGGAATTTTGAATTAAAGCAGCAGTGAAAAACCAATACATACCTATTAGAATGGCCAAAAGCCAGAGCACTGGATATTGAAGAAATGGGCAAAAGATATGAAAAGACATTTCTAGAAAGAAGATATCCAGATGACTAACAGACACATGAAAATATGCTCAACATCACTCATTGTCGGGAAAAAACAAATCAAAGCCACAATGAGATACCACCTCACACCTGTCAGAATGGCTAAAATGAACAACTCAGGCAACGATAGATGTTGGCGAGGATGAGAAGAAAGAGGAACCCTTTTGAACTATTGGTGGGAATGCAAACTGGTGCAGCACTCTGGTAAACAGTTTGGAGTTTGCTTAAAAAATTAAAAATAGAACTACCAATGGCCCAGCAATTGCACTTAGTAGGTATTTATCCAAAGATATACGAGTGCTGATTCGAACTGGCACATGCACCCCAATGTTTACAACAGCACTGTTGACAATAGCCAAAGTATGGATGGAGCCCAAATGTCCATCAACTGATAAATATAATGGAATATCACTCGGCAATAAAAAAGAAGGAATTTTGCCATTTGCAACAACGTGGGTGGAACTAGAGTATATCATGCTAAGCTAAATAGGTCAGAAAAAGATAAATATCATATGATTTCACTCATGTGGAATTTAAGAAACAAAACAGATGAACATAGGGGAAGGGAAGCAAAAAAAGATAAAAACAGAGAAGAAGACAAACCTTAAGATTCTCTGAAATACACAGAACAAACTGAGGGTTGCTGGCGGGGTGTTGGGTGGGGGAATGGGCTAAAAGGGCAAGGGGCATTAAGGAGGACCTTGTTGGGATGAGCACTGGGTATTATATGTAAATAATGAATCACTGAAATCTATTCCTGAAATCATTATTACACTATATGTTAACTAACTTGGATTTACATTAAAAATAAATAAATAAACGAATGCTGTATTTTATGCTTAGTAGCTTGTCTTTATAATTTTAATGGTGTCTTTCACAGAGCAAAAAAAATGTAATTGTCATAAAGTCCAATTTTCACTTTTTTTCTTCTATGATTGTGCATTTTGTGTCAGGTCTAAAGATTTTCTCTTATGCTTTTTAAAATAATTGTTTTTAATGTTTATTTATTTTTGAGAGAGATAGAGCACGAGAGGGGAAGGGCCAGAGAGAGGAGACACAGAATCTGAAGCAGGCTCCAGGCTCCAGGCTCCAGGCTCTGAGCTGTCAGCACAGAGCCAGATGTGGGGCTCAAACTCATAGACTGCAAGATCATGACCTGAGCCAAGTTGGATGCTTAACTGACTGAGCCTCCCAGGCGCCACTCTCCTATGCTTTTATTTTCTAAAAGTTTAATGGCTTTTATATTTAAATATACAAAATTATATATAGTGGATATATATATATATATAGAGAGAGAGAGAGAGATAGAGAGAGAGAGAGAGAGAGAGAGAGGGAGAGAGAGAGCTGAAGGAGAAGCAGTGTTATCAAGATGTGGGTCCGATAAAGCAAAAAGTTGAAGGGAATTCCAAAAATTAGTTACAAATGTGGAACAATGTGCTGATCTCTAAGCAAGAGTTCTTTAGCACAGAGTTCAGTGTGTAGGAGTGTCAGAAGAACAGCACACTGGTCAGGTTGGAGTGTGTATGAAAAGTACAGGGATAAGCCAGGTCAACAGTGATGGGAAGAAAAATGGAATTAGTCTTGTTTCTGAGATGAGTGTGGACAAGAGGACACATTGCTATCATATCTAAAATGCCCTTAGGTGTGATGACCCTCATGGGATGAATATTGTTCTCCCTGGGTTGGGAGGAGGGTGGTCATCTTTCTAGATGGACTGGCATGGCAGCCTTTTAAGTTTTTCCACTTTGCAGTGTCTTTTTCTGACAGCACCTTCCAGAGGCTTTACCCATAGTCAAATAGAAATAAGGTACCGCCAACTGCACTCTGGATACCAGATATCTGGATACAGATACCATGTTCCACCTGCCCCCACGAAAGTATGCTAATGCACGGATTCTCTTAGTACTTAATTAAACATGTGAATTTTTTTTTTTTAATTTTTTTTTTCAACGTTTATTTATTTTTGGGACAGAGAGAGACAGAGCATGAACGGGGGAGGGGCAGAGAGAGAGGGAGACACAGAATCGGAAACAGGCTCCAGGCTCTGAGCCATCAGCCCAGAGCCTGACGCGGGGCTCGAACTCACAGACCGCGAGATCGTGACCTGGCTGAAGTCGGACGCTTAACCGACTGCGCCACCCAGGCGCCCCAAACATGTGAATTTTTAACAGGGCCTGTTATTCAGAGCCTTACAGGATTTGGCTTCTCATTCTTTCTACATTTCTGACCTTGTTCAACTAATTCCCTCACTTACTGGATGTGATTCCTGTCACACTGATGGCTGTAGTCCTCTTTCTGGAACACTCCAGTGTCATATTGGCCTTAAGGCTTTTACTTGCTGTATCCTTGACCTGAAGTTCTCTTCTGTCAGATTTTCAAATGACTAGATTCTTTTTCATCTTTTAGTTTCTACTTCATCTCTCATCTCCTCATCAAAGACTTCCAGACATATTTCTCAATTTTGTCTTGTTTTCTCTTATCTTGCCAAGTACCTTGAGGTTGTTCTGTATCCTATTCCCCTATTTTATGTTTTTCTGCCATTTATCAGTATCAGAAATTATGTGTTCTACTTGTTTAGGCATTTATTATTTATTTCCTCATATATATCATGAACTTTATGACTCAGAAATTTCTCTTTTATATAGAGGAGGGCTGGCTCATAGTAGACGCTTCATAAAACATTGTCGGATGAATGTATAAACACTTGATAAATGTTTCTTTTTCTATATTCCAAAGTAAGCTACTATTTCTTTTTCTATAAATAAATATAGTGGTTATGATTTTCATGGTTGTTTGGACAAAATGTGGTAATATATAAAAGTCCATACTACAGTTTTTAACACATAGTAGGCAATTAGGCAGTGGATTTTTTTTTCATTTTTCCATCAATATATCCCACTGAAATAGCACAGTAGATATTGATTAAATGATATAATTCAAACTGGGGTATTGTAATCATGTGAAATGATATCTTACGTATTACATATTTTATGGCATATATCACATTATATACTATCCCTTATATATGATATAAGATATATGATATGGGATATGTGACATATTTTTATTAGATAGTAATGATGAAATTATTATAGTTAAATATTCTCCTTTGAAGCACAAATATTCCAAAAGTAATCTGCCTTCTTAGGTTTTCAAACTATGTGAATTACAATTAGGAAAAAAATAAAATTGTCTGTATTTCTAAATTAATGTGAAATATTCTATCTTCTAAGGAAAGCTTTAATTCTTATAGTTTCATGATTAACTATTATTTCCTACCTTCATGTTTACTGTTTCCAGGAAGAACCCTATGTCTTGTTTAAGAAGTCTGACAAACCTCTCTATGGGAATGATCGATTTGAGGGCTATTGTATTGACCTCCTCAGAGAGTTATCTACAATCCTTGGCTTTACGTATGAAATTAGACTTGTGGAGGATGGGAAATATGGAGCCCAAGATGATGCCAATGGACAGTGGAATGGAATGGTCCGTGAACTGATTGATCACGTAAGCCTTTTTTCTCATTTTTATCATTACCTTTTGTAGATTGCTAAAATATTTACTTTTTAAAAGTTTTTTGATGGTCAAGGGTTAATAATGGCAAAGAGCAGTAATATATTTCAAGTATGTATTTCCTTAAATAATTATCTTCAAAGGATGTCTTATTTTTGCCCTTAAATATAAACAATCTAAGAGGGATGTATGGTTCTATTAGAGAGAGTCATCTGTTTTAAATTCACTAGTATTTAGTGATTTAATATCTTGAAATATTTAGTCCTAATTTGCAAATTATAATGTGGTTTCCCAACAATTTATTTCTTTTTCACTTTTATAATACTGACTTCATAATCAATAGAAGGAATGATGATGCGAACTCTAAATTTTATGATAAAAATTTTCTGGATTAGCATAGGTTACTTCTTATCTTTAGAGATGAGAGAAATCTATATGCAAAAAGAATAGAATAAAGATACTGTGTAAAATAAAGTATTTTAAGTGTATTAATCTGGCGATAGACATTTTATTTATTTATTTATTTATTTAGTTAGTTAGTTAGTTAGTTAGTTAGTTAGTTAGTTAGTTGAATAAAGCCAGACATTCCTTCTTTGGTCAAGAAAGCATTATTTCATAATTTCTTAGTTGGCAGTGTCGATTAATTCATCTCTTTGAAATAAACTCTTATTTTTTAAAAATAATAATAATAATATTACATTTGGCTTTGTGTTTTTTAACATTTAAGTTTATTTTGACATTTTCCATAATATTAAGGCATGTAATTATTGCCAAATATCTACAAAGTAACAAAATATATTTTGCTTTTAAAAAACCATGAAAACTGTACCCTAAATTAAAGTCCTTACTAATGGAAGTAGCAAAAATAGGCAGTTTTCACAACATTTTGAAGATATTTCATTGCTATTAATTATAAAGTTTATTATCAAGAGTAAAGGAATAAGGGAGATCTGTCTCTATCCCTATCTATCTATCTATCTATCTATCTATCTATCTATCATCTATCTATCAGGGGATGTTAGGGTTTGGTTAGAAGCAGAATAACAAAACAAATAAACAATTATCATTAAACTTATTTTTCTTTAATCTTCAACATATTATTTTAATTATTTGAAATTTACTCAATAAGGTCCTGAGGTTCTAGGCTTAATCAGTTATTTCTAAAAAATTCTGCATAAATGGTCCATTTATATTTTACTTTGTAAAATCTATTAAAGATGATGAAAATGTATATGATTTGGAATCAGATATGAAACCTTAAACTTTATGTTCACTTATATTACTATAGCAGCAACCATCAGAAATCTAATTCAAGCTGGTTTAAGCAAAAATGTTAACTTGTTTGTTTGCATCTTTGTAAAGTCCAGAGGTAGTGTGGCTGGATTTAGAATATCAAGATTTAGTTTCCCTGATATTTTGCCTCAATGTAGTCTTTGTTTCTCTGTATTTGTTTTACTCTTAGACATGTGCCTCTCAACAGATGGCAAGAACAATTGCCACCAACAGTTCTAGATCAACCATCCAGGTAGAAGTAAAACACCTGGACCCTATAATTTAATCAAGGGACCCCAAATTTGGTTTCATTGGCCAGACCAAGGTCATAAACTAGATTCTGAACCAATTATCCCATTCAGAGGAATTGCTATTCTTGGGGTGCCTAGGTAGCTCAGTTGTTTAT